CCCTTATATTCAAAACCATTAAAACTCAAAATTCTTCCCTATTTTCACTTAAGAGTCCATTTGGTTCACAGTTAGAACCAGAATCAAAATCCGTTGGAATTAGAATCAGAATGGTGTATTCTCATATATAGTCTCTTTGGTTAAAACAGGAATTAGTCGGAATGGAAATTGAAATCAAATGGAATGAAATTTGATTCTCAAGGGAGGGGGATGGAATGTCCATTCCTTCAAATTGGGGAATTTCATTCTACCAAAAATGAGAATGGAATTCTAATTCTGCCCACCCAAACTGTTGGAGACACCTATAACCTTATTCTCGCAAACCAAACGGGCCCTAAGTATAAATATCATGAAATTCGAAGATGAAATCCAACGATCTCAAGCACCTTGCATTAAGATCAAATGCAAACAATTCCCTAGCCAAATCGTTATCACAATATGAATTCCGCTCTTCTACCGCCACAACACGTGAAAGTAAGCATGGGCACTTGGGGCGCTTGTTTTGAAGAAAAAGAAAATATATGGTTTTTCACCTTGATACAGCAACGGTCTAAAATTCCTTTCCCTCTGGTCTCAAGTGAATACCAGCAAAAAGTAGTAGAGAACAGAACACTACTACTCCTTGTCATTGTCAGCATTCAGCAACTGCGTTGTTTGTAACTCTTTTTCCACCGACAATTGTCCATGTAACCATGCTGGGGGGAAGCACCAGATGATTGGTTTGTTTACAACGCAGATGGTGTGATCAATCAGCCTCAATGGACATTATTTCAATCATTTAAAGTTTATTTTATTAATGATATTTAGTTTACAAACCCTATCGAAGTCCAATATAATTTCAATGGCTATTTACTAATAGACCCCCTAAGTTTCATGGATTTACTATATCCTACCTTATAGTTTGTATTTTACTAAAATATCCCCTATAATTTGCAATGGATTTACTTAATTGATTCTTGATTGCATGACGTTGAAAAATGACAGTTTTGACCCAATGTCTATTTGATAAATTTAATCAAAAGAAAATAAATATGAAAATTTGCAATTGACTCTCCATTAGATGATAATGGAAAATGACAATTTGACCCTAATGTCCATTTGATAGATTTAATCTAAAGAAAAATAAAAATGAAAATATCATTTTTTTTTTTCAAATAAGACATGAGCAACCACTCTATTTGGCTCTATTTGATCATTTTTGTTTTTTTGTACAAATAAGTACAAACAATCATGGCCCATGTCCTTGAATATTTTCCACTTAGTTTAGGTGATCACATTACTATTTTCAAATGGCTAAACAAACACTTCTTAGGAAAATGTCGATTAAGTAAATAACTTGCAACTATAGGGGTGTTTTAGAACAAACTATAGGATGGTCCTAACCCAAGCTTGGACTGGTCCAGTTTGCAATTTTACATGGATTGGACTTGGATTTTTGGTCCTTGAGTTAGCCCTAGGTCCAAAAGTTTGGATTTTGTTTTTTAATTTTTCGGTATGGGCTTGGGCCTAGCCCATAGGTAGCCTAAACCCAGCCCAACATGAATATATTATGTACGTGCATATATAAACATATATTTGCTTGCATACATGTATATCAATTTTTAGTGTGGATTGATTAACCAACCTGAGCCCACCTTGGGCCCACACTTAACCTGTGTGCATCAAATTTTAATGCAGCCTGATCTCAGGCTGGATAGTTCAGACTTGATCTTGAGCTTGAGCCTTAGCCCTAATTCTTACTATTGGGCTTGGATTGAGCTAAGACACTATTATTTAAATGCAAATGTATAAAAGGGCACTAAGGCCAAACACCCTTAAAAAAGCGGTAGGGATTTGCTATCAATAAAAGGCTCCCAACACTCTCCGAGCAGGCCACTGCAGCTGCACATTGGGAACGAATTGGGATCTGCTCCTCACACTGACACACATCCCACCATATATTGGGAGCATCTCCCCATGAATAATAAATTCAACAATGGGAGATGTTCCCAATGTGCAGCCAGCACATGATGTGAGGTGGGTGTGAGGACAAATTCAGACTCATTGGGAACATCTTCCTTATCATTCATGGGAGATGATGGTGCACAATCTGGTGCTCCCTGTTGGATGACAGCTCGGATGTCGAGCTAGTGAAGTCGCCTAGTCGAGCTGCAAGAAAAGGATGTTAGAGTGTCCAGGGGACTTTACCCGGTGTAGGCACTCCGATGCTTGTTAGCGATTTAAAGGTTTTGAGAGAGCTAAAAGCTAGATTGCAAGAGAATTCAGAGAGCCGAGTTACGCATACCTTGTAAGGCTGGAGGCAAGGCCTTTATATAGGTGAACTGTTTTGGGCCTCACGATGCGTGTCCGAGATCCTCGGCCCGTCTGGTCTAGAGTTGGTTTCGCACCTGAAGATGGACTCTACCTAAGCTGATAAGGCTTATGCAGGTTTGTCTGAATCGGGTGGGGAGAAAATGAACTCCATTAACATGGTACTGTGATCCCGAGGAGATTGGAAACAACTGACTTGTTTCTAGATAGAGGCTACATGGCACCTCAGAAAATCGGTGCATATAATTGCACTACTCGAGCCTCAGTCAAGCTAGGTGACCCGAGGTGCGTGAGGTGACTGGAATCGTTGAGGTCACTGAGTTGTCACCACATCTTTCTGTCACTCCACATGTCATTTCATCATTTAACGGGCCCAATTATCCCTCACGAGGAGAGTTCCCTTTGAACAACTGCAATGGCTCCCTCACGAGGAGAGTTCCCTTTGTACAATTGCAATGGCTGGTTGGGAGTTGGGAAGTTGTTGTCGCGTGTACTAGTAGCTGATCCGAACTCTTAAAAAACTGTGTAGGTGTTTGCTTTTGGTAATTCTGTCGAGGTGTTTTTAAGGGTGTCTGCATGTATTTAAGAATTAAAATTATTTTCGGACTTTTATGTTTTTCAGACCTCGAAGGAGCAACAGCCCATAAGAAACCTTTCATGTAATCTCTCAATTATTCGGTAGAGGTTAACAGGGATACAGAGGTGAGAAAAGAATGCCATGTTGTCATATCAATTAATACTTGCCCGGCCCCCTTCAGTTCTATTGTTGAATACACACATCTATCTTCTACCAATTCTCATTTGAATCCACATCTCCTATCCACAAGAATTTTACCCATAGGATATTACAGCTATACATTGGGAGCATCTCTCCATGAATGATAACATGTAAATATAGAAGATGTTCATAATGTACAGTTGTAATGTCCTGCAGATAGGTGTGGGGAGAGGAGGGGTGATTTTGATTTAAAAAAAAAAAAAACTATTTCATTTAACAAAACCAGAGAGAAAGACAGACACAAACCCACAAGAACAAACATAGAAAAAAAGAAAGAAAGAAAAGCAAAAAAGAAACTAAAATCAGAAGGCAAGTAGAGTTTTCAGATTTAGAAAATCCTTCACAAGAACTTCCTTCAACCAACTTGTTGGAGCTGTCAAAATATTGCCCAAAGTTTTGAGCACCATCTCTTGTTGCCTCATTGTTTTATAAAGGAGAAAGAGACTTGAAACGTAGGGCTATAAGTTGGATTGCCTGATTTGAAGAACTTCAACTACTTTGGGCTCATGTTATAAGGAGGAGAAAGAGACTTGGAATGTAGGGCTTTAAGTTGGGTAGGGGTGTCAATGGACTGATTTTGGATTGGACCAGTTTAGACTTAATGGTCTAAAATATTTATTGGATTGGATTGGACCTGGTCCATCTGTAATGAATTTATATTGGACTGGGTTGGATTGAGCCAATATCTGGTCCATTGATAGAAGATAAGAATTTAGGTGTCCATGGACCAGGTTTGGATTAGAATTAATCTAAATTAAAACAAATTTGAACAGGTTGGGTGGTCTAGACATTGAATTGGACTGGTAAAAAATGGTCTAAAATATTCATTAGATTGAATTGAATCTGGTCTATTTGTAATGGACTCACATTGGACTGGATCGGATTGGACCAAATGCAGTCTATTTGACACCCCTAAAGTTGGGTTGCCTGATTTGAAGTATTTCAATTATTTTGGGCTCAGGTTAGGGTTTGGGTCTATCAAAAAAACCTAACAAATTTCCTACCTAACCTGGCCCAAGTTGGACCCCCATTGGAACGTGTATATACCCCACATTATATTAGTGGGTGTTCTCCCATATGCATATGATATATTGGCCAACAGTTCCTTTGTGCTTATTGGGTTGTGCCCAATTTATCAGAGAACGTATTGTGCATAAATCAGTCTCCGTCTCGTTTCCTGATAAACGCTTTAATATCTATTATCTGCATATGAAATGTATGGATTATGGATAATCGCAAATTACATATGGCTGCTTAATTACTAAAACATCCTTGTTGCCCCATATAGCCTGCCAGGGCAAAATTTGGTTTTGGACCGTGCTCAACCAAACCCATTCCAAATGGGCCTAAACTCAATTTTAGAGGAATTATTAAAATAATAAGCCCAGGAGGGGACCCATATTCCATCTCAAAATTAAAATACAAATCCAAAATGTAGGCAAAGTGCACAACAAATGCAGCAGATCAGCACTCAGCGAGAACGAGTTGGTACTTGTTAGTATATGGTTAATTTCTGCTATATGTATCAACCACTATAGCACCCGTCATAGTTCATTCAAGAGCTGTGCAATTATACTCCTGGCAATGGAAAATTGGAAATTGGATGTAGGCTTGTGTGTAAATCCCCTTTAATTCTTGGAGTCCAAAGTTCGTACCCAAAAAGAGATATCTCAGAACCTTATTGAGTAATCCACACACACACGCACATAATAAACTAATTAATTAAAGAGAATAGCAGAAATAAATTAATGTGGAAATGGAATGTTTAAACCTAATATAATCAAATAATACTTAAACAATGAAGTAATAACTAGTGGTCACCATATATACATAACACAATGCAAAAGTTACATTTGATAGCAATCACTAGTATATATACTACGGCAGCTTCATCACCGTCAGATTGTATCATCTAATGGGCCCCATTATAGACTACAGACAAAAATTATAGTTCAGCTGTCACCGCCCAAAAGAGTAAAGCCACCGTCCAAACTTTCCATTTCAACGTTCCGCAAATATTCTTCCTCCCATTATTCTAACATGCTTCCATCTTAGCCGATTCACCTCGCTCTCCAACACCATGAGACCACTTGATCAAGCTACTCTTTCCTGTACGTGTTATCAGGGGTTTATTTCTTTCCATCGATCTGGGTATCATGCATCCATTTGTTAGGGTGCCTCACTGCTGGTTTGTATATGATCAGTTATGACAGGAATTAAAGCATTTGAGGATTTCTCTAATCCAAGCCAATACATGAATTTAATTAGATAGATCCATCATTCAAGTGAACAGAGTCCCCTCTCCAAATTATTCAAAATAGCTGCCACTTGAACAATGGAAGGCCGGTTTCTCCTGCTGTTACTTACACAGGCTGATGCAACCTTGGCTAATCTAAACAGGGGCTCTATATCTGAAGGGACTACAAGCCTAGGATCCAAAAGCTCATGAAGTTTCATATCTCTTATCAACGGCAATGCCCACTCAGCAATCAACCCTTCTTCACACCTCCTCCCACTTAAAATCTGTAACAAAACCACCCCAAATCCATACACATCACTTGCCTTGCATGCTCCCCCTCTTTGCTTCCAATACTCATCATCCACATACCCCACAAGACCTCTCCGCTCGTGGGGTGCCAAGAAACAGAGCCCATAGTCACTAACTCTAGCACAGAAATGCGAATCAATCAAGATGTTAGAAGGCTTAACACACCCATGAACTATAGGAGGAGTCATCTTCTCGTGCAAGTATTCGATGCCTCGAGCAGCACCTGCAGCTACTCTGAGGCGAAGCTCCCAGTCCAGGAGAGGTGCACCGTTGCAGCAGTCATGGCGTAGGTGGTAGTCCAAGCTCCTCATGCCCATGAACTCCATTAGGATAATTCTCTCTCCTGGGGCCTCTGCCAATCCAATAATGGGTACTACGTGAGGGTGATCTGCGAACGAGAGTGACTTGACTATAGATGAGAATCCAAAGCCAGCATTGCTCAATACAAGCCGTGGATGGATCCGCTTTGCGGCAACTACATCCCCTCCTGTCAAATGAGCTTCATATACAGTTCCCAGGCGGCCAGCTCCGATAATCAGGCGTTGGTTGAAGCCATCGGTGGCGACATCAACATCAGTTAAGGAATAAGCACGGGCACAGAGCTTGGCAGGAAAACCTTCTTCTGGGTCCATTGGTTTCTTCCTGCAGAGGATGATGATCAGAATGAGACTGAGAATAACCAAAGCTGTAGCGAGAAGTGCCATGACACCATCGTAGGCGATGGTAGTAGAAGTACTACCGTGACTCATGTTGGAGACCTCCCTTGCTGAAGCTCTACTAGTGCTGCTAACCATGAAGCGTGCGTTGAGGAGAGATTAGGAAGTGGGTAGCCAGCCCATAAATCAGAGGTTGGAATGGAAATACGGTTGGGACTTGGGAGAAAGTTGGGTGACAAGGAAAGATGTGAGAAAAAGAGGGGTATCTCTTATGTCTTAATGTGTAAGTTTTTCAGTTTTCACTAGTTTGAACTGGGAACTTTGAAATTAGGGGAGATTGGTGAGAAAGTCAGGGTAGGGATTATAGTTTGGAGTGGATATGTGATCGTTGTTGTTGGTTGGCATTGACTCTACTTATAATAATGAAGCATAGTACTTGACTGTTTGTTCCAATTTAGTTGTAACAAACACAAGTACAATTCCATGAAGCCATGTGTCATTGGTTTTTTCTCCTGGTTGATGTTTGGTGAAAGGTGATTGATCGTATGCTTTTGGCTGCACTCTAATATTTGCCTGTCCAACATTGACAATTTGACATTTTAAGGTTGCCAAGCCAACAAGTCGTATTTCAAATTCGGGTCGGGTCGGGTTCGAAACTCGTCAATCCACAAACCATACAAGGACTCACCACAATAATGCGTTCCCGTTTGATGGATGGTCCCATTGAAGAATTAACTTAGAAAGATGCCAGCTTCAAAAGCAACTTGCACCAAATATTTGGATGCTGGAGAAAAGATCGGCATATTAACATCAAGGCATCACTGTTGACATGTGCCTTCAGATCCAATATTTTTAATGCCATGTTTGGGAGTGTATGTTAAAAATAGTGTCTATTGAATAAGTGTTTAAGAACAAGTACTTATTTAATAAGTTCTTATTTGCATTTGGCACCTAACTTTTTTAAGTATTTTTTTTTAAATAAGTACTTATTTCATATTGGGTGTTTGGTAGTCTTTTTCTCTAATAAGTACTTAAATAAGCATTTTGATTGTGACTATTTTGTTCTTTATTTTCTTTCAAATTCTATGAAAGCACTTTTACAAAAACGCTTGTGTAAAAGTACTTTCATAAAATTCAACTAGGAAAATTTTTGGAAAAGAAATTGAATAAGTTTTTATTGTATAAGCACTTAAAAAAACAGAAAATTTGGGCCTAAAAAATAAGCCCTTATTTTGAACTTATTTCCCAAACACCAATAAGTGTTTAATGATGTGGTCCCGGCCCAAATAAATACTTATTTTGAATAAACACTTATTGTTAAATACTTCCAAATATGGCCTAATGAGAAAACAAAAAAATCATACTTTAAAAAAAGAAAAAAGTCTTATTGCAAAGAGGAGGCATTGTAGAGTGACGCAACGTGAGGCGTTCGACAGAGATAACTCTACAAACACCCGTTCGATCGAGTTTGATTTTGGACTCGATAAGACTCACGTAAAATACTAGGCGTATAGCCTCAACAGTAGAGAGAATTGATGAAAGAAATTCTTGTGTTATTAAAGCTTAAAACAGAGGTATTTATAACGTATCAAAACATTGGCAAACTTGTAAAGTAAAACAACTAGGTAACTCGAACTTATCTTCAGCATGCCTTCGATGTCTGCCGTTTGATGCCCATCATCCGACTTCAGGTAGCGTAAGGAATCCTCTAGCATGGGGACTCCTCTCTAAGGCAGAGCTGGCGCTGGTTGGTTCGGGTGGTTACGTATTGGCACTCCATCATTCACCCCCTCTTGGAAAGAACTCGACCTCGAGTCATGATCATGGTATGCCAGTGTCACTTCAGGCAAATAATGATGAAGATCAACATTAAACGTTTTGGAAATACCCATGTGATTTGGCAAGTCCACTACGTAAGCATTGTCATTGATCTTCTTAATAATCTTGTACGGACCATACTTCCGAGGCTTTAGCTTGCTATGCTTCCCAACGGGTAATCGCTCATTCCTTAAGAACACCATGACTTCATCAGTGACTTCAAACACCTGGTACCTTCGATGCCTGTCAGCTGCAAGTTTATACTTCTCATTGGCCCTGTGAAGTTTCTGTTGTACTTCCTCTTGTACTGACTGAATCTGACCTGCCAACGGCTCCGCTGTAGTACTAAGACCTGGTACCCTGGGTAGCTTCACCAAATCCAAAGCATGGTTAGGTACTTTCATATAAACAATAGAAAATGGGGATCTACCTGTAGAGCTATGAACTGCATTGTTGTAGGCAAACTCTGCTTGAGCTACGGCAAAGTCCCACTGCTTCGACCTCTCTCTGCAAATACTGCGGATCAGGTTAGCCAGGGTTTGATTCACCACTTTTGTCTGCTCATCGGTCTGCAGATGAGTTGTACTGCTGAAATTCAATGACGAGTCAAATATCCTCCACAAGGTCATCCAGAAGTGACTTAGGAACCTCGTATCTCTGTCTGACGTAATGGTCTTAGGCACCCCGTGTAAACGGACAATCTCCCTGAAGAATAGTTTGGCTATTGCTGTTGCATCCGCGGTCTTCTTACATGGGAGGAAATGCGCCATCTTGAAAAAATCGGTCAACAACCACAAACATGAAATCCATGTTTCGTGGAGTCTTCGGCAAGCCCAACACGAAATCCATAGACAAGTCTTCCCAAATAGCAGTAGGAACTGGTAAAGGCATGTAAAGACCAGAATTCTGGGTCTGTCCCTTAGTTGTCTGACATATATAACACCTACTTACGATAGTAGCCACATCTCTCCTCAGCTTAGGCCAGTAGTAACGCCCCTTGACAGCCTCAATCGTCTTGTCCCTCCTAAGGTGTCCTGCTAAGCCGCCCCCATGCAAATCCCTAATGACTTTCTCGCGAAGGGATGTGCAAGGAATACACAAGGTCTTCCTTCATAAGAAACCCATCATATATGTGAAAGTCACCCGCTGGTTGCTTGGACATGCACTTCTCCCAAACCTGCTTGAAGTCTTCATCTTGGGCGTACAAATCTCTCAAACACTCAAAACCCACGATCTCAATGCTAAGGGTCTTAATCAGGGCCACACGCCTGCTCAAAGCATCTGCCACCGTATTCTGTTGTCTAGCCTTATATACAATTTTGTATGGGAATTTATCAACAAAAGCAGACCACCTAGCATGCAGATCACTCCTCAACTATTTTTGCTTACTTAAATACTTAAGGGCTTGATGGTCGGTGTAAAGGACAAACTCTTTAGCAATCAACTAGTGTTCCCATGTCTTCAATGCCCTTACAACAACATAAAACTCTTTATCATAAGTAGACCACTTCTTTCTAGCTTCACATAGTTTCTCACTAAAGAAAACAACTGGTCTCTTTTCTTGTGATAACACAACCCTAATGCCCACTCCACTAGCATCACACTCAACCTCAAATAACTTGTCAAAGCTTGGCAGAGCTAAGACAGGAGTGATACATAACTTCTCTTTTATTAGAGCAAAACTTTGCTCATGTTCCTCTCCCCACTAGAACTTACCTTTCTTCAAACATTCAGTGATAGGAGCTCCAATACTACTAAAGTGTTTGATAAACCGCCTATAGAAAGTTGCTAACCCATGAAAACACCTTACATCGGTTACGTTCATTGGGGTTGGCCACTCCCTAATAGCTCGCACTTTCTCCTCATCCACTTTAATCCCATCCTTACTTACAATGAAACCCAAGAACAATACACTACCACTCATAAAAGTGCATGTTTTTAAATTAACATATAGTTTATTTTCTCTCAACGCATTCAATACCCCTCGGATATGTCCTATGTGCTCATCAATAGATTTACTATAAATCAAAATATACCACAATAGATTTACCAATGAAAGGACGTAGTACCTGATTCATCAGTCTCATGAAAGTGCTTGGTGCGTTAGTTAGTCCAAAAGGCATGACTAACCACTCAAACAATCCATCCCTTGTCTTGAAAGCTATCTTCCATTCATCTCCGGGATGGATTCTGATATGATGATAACCACTTCTGAGATCAATCTTGGTAAAGACCACAGCCCCATCAAGTTGATCAAGCATGTCATCCAGCCTAGGAATGGGAAACTTGTAGCCAATAGTGATTTTGTTGATTGCTCTGCTGTTAACACACATCCTCCAACTCCCATATTTCTTCGGTGTCAATAATGCCAGCACCACACTAGGACTCATGCTAACTTGGATGTGCCCCTTTTTCAACAGCTCTTCTACCTTCTCCCGTAAGATCTCATTCTCCTTAGGACTCATTCTGTAGTGTGGAAGATTAGGTAGGCTAGCACCAGGAACAAAATCAATGTGGTGCTGAACGTCTCGCATGGGTGGCAGCTCATTAGGTAAATTGTCAAGAACTACATCATGAAACTCGACGAGAAATCCATGCACTTCCACTGGAATTTTGTTCACCCCTAGTGGCTCACTCACACTCTCCCCTTTTATAACTAGTAAGTGGACCTCGCAGGTATCTTTACTCTCCCTTACAAACTCAGAGTGGCGATGTGTTATGGTAAGAAAATTCCTCTCCTCCACCTTTGAAGCCTTGGTTTGGTTCTTTTCCACCATAGGCAACAATGTATAGCGCACACCCTCTTTCTCAAGCTGGTATGTGTTCTTCCTACCCAAGTGTTTGGCATCTACATTAAACTGCCAAGGCCTACCAAGCAAAATATGGCAAGCATTCATATCCACAATATCACAATAAACCTCATCAGTATACTTACCAATAGAGAATGGAACCTTGCAGCGTTCCTCCACACACACGCCCCCAACTTCCTTGATCCAACCAATCGTGTAAGGGTTTGGGTGTTTCTCATGAATTAGTTGCAGCTTTTTTACCACATCTCTGCCAATAATATTCTCCTGGTTGCCACTATCAATAATCAATTCAAATAATTGACCTTGCACCGTACACCTAGTGCGAAACAGCCTGTGTCGTTGTGTGTCATCTTTACTTTTCTGAGATAACATGAGCTTTCTCATAACACACGTGTACTCTTCATGCTCATAATTACCTTCTTCGTCCTCTCCATCGGGCCCACAATACACTTCATTATCATAAACTTCTTCCTCCTCCCTTTCTACTATGTTAACTGCCTTTCTCCTGGG